AGCAGTATTTCCAGAGCATAGTAATTGTTTCAATAAGTGTTTGCTGAATAAATGAATAAATGAGTTATTTAAGGAATGGAGGAAAATACAAAAGAGCACTACACTGTAAGACTGTAGAAAATCAAATAAACTAACCTCCATAGGAAAAAAGGTTCTTTGTGTGTGTTTTTTAGGCACTCAATGTATATTTATCAAACGAATGAAGAGTGAAAGAATGAATGAGTGAATGAATAAAGCCCTATAGATGTAGCCCAAAGCTACTCACAACAAACACTGCTTTATCTCATAAACTCACTGAAAATGTTCCATTCTATTCTGTAGCAGGCTTTGATATAAAATATTGGAAGAAAGGTTTTAAAAAATAATAAGCTTTATAGTTCACACTACAAGAGCTCTTTAGGAAACTCACCATGATATATATCCTAAATGTTTCTTTTCTTGGCCAAGATGAACTGTAAAATGGCATGGTTTCCCAACTGACCAGAAGTTTACCTAACTCTGGATAGTCCTCAAATAGTTTTCTGCGGCAAAGATCATGACGAGGGATCACAAAAGGAACTCCCAAACCAAGTAGTTATTTCAAGCTTTGCGTGGGCTCTTTTTAATGAATTTTCCATAAAAGGAAACCCACTGGGTCACTCATGGTTCTGCATACCAGAGGGCAAGCCCAGCAGTATGGGATTGGCTGCATTGCATAATGCAAAAATAAACTTGCCGGAGGAAGTGCATTCTTCTCTTGTTCTTGAGAAAGGAGCATGCACCAAGAGAGTGCTGTAGTCAAGTCACTTATTGTCTGACACATGTCCTTCTCAGTGGCTTTGGGCAAGGGCTAGTCTTAGCACAAAGAAAGAAAAGTCAATGTCAGTTCATCTGGATGTTGGGAAGGCTTTGGTTGATCTTCAAACTTGCATGATATCCTAACTCTATGCTCTTGAGTCTAAATGAAAAATTAGCACCTTAGAGCTACTTTTGGACTGCATGAAGCTATAGCATATGTGAGAGCATTTGGTAAATGTTAAAGGATTTGGCCAAAAAATAGTGTTCTGTGGCATATGCTCTGAGTTTGAATTCTGCCTCAGCTAATTGTTATGACTTGGGATGGTTAATTACTCATTCTAAGGCTCATTTTTGTAGCTGGTGGAGACTTGATGATAATGGTGAACATCCTAAAGTAGGCACAAACCAAAATATTATAAAGATTATTTTTTAGTCCAGTGCCTGGCACAGAAGATTTAATGTGTGTGCGTTACACTGCAATAGACAAAACAGAATTCTGTCTTCATGTTGCCCATTTCGGCTGCCTGCACATACTATTACCATATCACTATACTTTGTAAAGTGGGGAATTTTCATTAGAAATTGTGTTTGGGATTAAGAAATGGGTGATTAATTGAAAAATCAGTTAAAGCTTTTAATAATAAAAATTATATATACATATCTTAAATACTTTATTTTGACTTAAAACATTTAAAAAGTGCTTATTTGCCTGTATTTTGAGATCTGGCCAAGGCCTTTCTTGGAATTGTGTTTGCTGACATGACCCTTATCTATAATGTATAGTCCATACATTTCAGGCAAATTTAAAGATATTTATGAAATAAATTGACCATATAATCCTCCTAGATGTTTTCACCATTTTGTTTTTACAATTGTCTCCGCTACCTCAAGTTTATGATAGGTTTCTTTTTTCTTTTCTCTTTTCTTTTCTTTTCTTTTCTTTTCTTTTCTTTTCTTTTCTTTTCTTTTCTTTTCTTTTCTTTTCTTTTCTTTTCTTTCTTTTCTTTTCTTTCTTTTCTTTCTTTTCTTTCTTTTCTTTCTTTTCTTTTCTCTCTTCCCCTTCCTTCCTTCCTTCCTTCCTTCCTCCCTCCCTCCCTCCCTTCTTTTTTGTAGCTCATCTTTATCAAGTCATCCCCAGAGCATTCCATTCACTTTATATACAAAAAAGTAATTCCTTTTTCACACCCATGTTCATTGGCTTTCACACTAGTTCGTCGCACTGCCTGCCGATAGCTGCGCTTCAGCATACACAGGTACCTATAGCCCGCGAGCATAAGCAGATTCAGCCGACCGCGCGACTGCCCCGTTAAGCACGCGGCTGCGCTAAGGCAGGCGGGGCTGCCGTGCTCCAGGGGAAGGCCGCGCTGGGATGCAGGGCGCTGGCGCATCCGCTGGCTTTACGGAGGGGATGGAAGGCGTGGGTGAATCTGACAAGTGGAGACTGGTAAAGAGATTCCTGCTCTAAAAAGGGGTTTCACAGATAAAGCAGTGGAGCAAGGAGGTAGGAAGGGGCTTAGAGGAGGACATTTGTTTCCAAGTTCAGCTCTGTCAAACCCCAGAATCCGACAGTGACATGGCTAGAAAAGGCTTTAGAGAACCACTAATTCAGCTGCCCACCACCTTCACACACTCACTACCATCATCTGCTGACGTTTGGTAGATGAGGAAAGATGTGGGGTTTGAGAGAGACAGTTCTTTAACACTGTCCAACATTTAACATGGAAGGTAAGAGGAAGAACAAAGCTATTACAGATGGAGCCTCCACTGTCCTTTCACGAAAAGAGGCCTGGCGGCTCCAGGAAGGCTTCCTGGACTGGCGGGAAGCACCAGACTGGAGGGCTCTGCACCAAAGGACAGACAGATAGGGAATGGGGAGGGGGGCAGAAAAAATGGAGAGAAAATTCCATTTAATTTTTTCTTTTAAAGTCAAGCATGAAACATCAAAAATAGAGTGGCCTCCTCTGCAAAAGGCACTTTAGGCTTCCGCAGACACACCCATGCACACGTCCTGGCTTGAGCAGATGTTTCTTAGTGGTTATGCAGTTTACACAGAAGAAAAATGTTTGAACTCTTATCAGTATAATCATCTGGCAAAGGGGCTAGAGGCAATGTTAAGGCAGCCTGCCTTCCTATGGCATCTCTCTCATTGCATTTCCAGGAAATGCAAAAGAAAGTAAGAGAGAGGGCTGATGAAGCATTCTATTAACTTGCCCGTCCTCTGTACAGTAAATGGTTCCAGAAATTTTATGTGGGAATTGGGGCTAACCAGAGATTGAGACCTAAACATCCAATTTTGGCCACACAGAGTTCTGTCTTTTTACCAAAGTGGAAATTTTTCAAATAAAACACAGAGGCCCCATAGAACTTACTGAAAACAAGCCTGTAGTTCCTCAGGGCTTTCCTGTTTTTTAAAATACATAGGATAATTCTATGCAGCGGCCTTGGAGAAATTGTCTTCAATAATACAACTGCTCTCTAATTCTTAAGTCAACCTTATTTATCTTTTTCTCTCTGGATTCCTTTCACCTCAACTTCTCTGTATTTTTTTTTTTTTTTAATATATCTTTATTGAATTCAGAGAGAGGAAAGGAGAGGGAGAGAGAGAGAAACATCAATGATGAGAGAGTCATTGATCGGCTGCCTCCTGCATGCTCCCGACTAGGGATGGAGCCCGCAACCCGGACATGTGCCCTGACTGGGAATCGAACCCCGATCTCCTGGATCGTAGGTTGATGCTCAACCACTGAGCCACGCCTGGCCGGGCAACTTCTCTGTATTTTGAAGAAATGATAACTAATTTCCAAAGCATGATTTCAGGAAACCAACAGTGTCATGTCCAATTGCCTAGAAAAACACAAATCGATGCAGCATTCTTGGTCCAATCTTGTATTTTTGTGGCTCCTTCCAGGGAGGAATACAGGCACCCTCTGTGGGGTTTTCCCATCCCACCCTCATCACTGCTTGGTAAGGGAGGAGAGAGTCAGCCCTGAATAAGTGGGCACAGCTGAACCACACTGAAATGGGAAAGGGGATGATGGGAAGTCGGGCTTGAGGAGGTCCCAGAGCTGCCAGCCCTACCAGGATGGGGCTCACTCAGCAGTAGCATGCAAGACAGGCGCCTTGAAAGCAACAGATCCTTCAGGAGTGAACAGCAAGAGAACGAAGCATTTCTCATTGCTTTCCTTGGCTTTGCAAGTTGCACCAGGAAAATTTTATTTCCTAGCATTGAAGATTTTAGAAGTATTTGAGCCAGATCCCCACAAGGGCCCTTGAAAGACATAGCAGAATATATTCAAATAACCAAGAAGCAACATGCCCATTTTGCTTTGTTTCTTTTAAACAATGATTGTTATTTGTAATTATTTCTTTCTTCTCTGCTGTCTGCCTCCTCCTTAGACTGTGAGCTCCTGAAGGCACAGAACATCTTTGTTTTGTGCATCACCAATCTATTTCTGAAAGATTCGGAGCAAACCAACACTCTCACCCTGTTCTGGTTCATTTCTTTCTTCTAATGTCCACCCAGTCCAAATGCAAAGGAGCTCTTACCCTTTGTGACAGACAGCATGGATGGACCTGGAAAGTATTATGCTAAGTGAAATAAGCCATTTAGAGAAAGACATACCGTATGATCGCACTAATATCACTAATATGTGGAATCTAATAAGCTGACGAACAAAATGGAACCGGAAGCATGGATACATGGAACAGACTAGCTGGTGCCAGAGGGGAGGGCCGTGGGAGGATAACTGGATAAAGAGGTGAAAGGATTAGCTAAAGAACAAAGATGCTTACCCCATGGACAGGGACAATAGTGTAGTGAAGGCCAAGGGAGGGGAAGGTGGGCAAAGGGGAGAGAAATGGGGAACATCTGCAATAGTGTCAACATTAAATTTTTTTAATTAAAAGAAAGAAAGAATGAAAGGAACTACAGGAAAACTTAAGAACATTTTCCCCAGAAAGCGTCATGTTATGGGGGTTTCACCCCAATTTTGTGCTATATTCTGTGTTTTGTTGGTTAGGAGCCCTTCACATCACAGCACTCTGCAGATTTCTCTTGTATAAAAGGTCCATGGCTCTAAGTGAGATACTTTGCTCTTTGCTTCTGGTTTATCAGCTCATATCAGGTCCCGTCAGCCTTGATGCTTGTTGTGTTCCAATAAGAAGTGAATGAAATTACTCAGATTAAAATGCCCAATGCTTATAAAAAAAGAGGCCACCCTTACCTTTGTCACTCTTAATTCCAAAGGGAGTGCCGTTTCCCTAGCTTGGCATGTTTTCCCCAGGTCAGGAGGTTTCTGTGACATTTCCTGAGTTCTGCAAAGAAGAGAGTTTGGAAAAATTTACTGTGTTTGGCCTGCCACCTCCCCAAAGCCTGAAAATAGTCGATGTTGATCCCTTTCCCAAAAACAAATAATAAAAACCAAACAAACCACCCCCTACACACAAAGAACAGTTTCTTCTGAGCGTGTGTTTCCTGCAATTAGTGCAAATAACTACTTCAATGCTCCCTAGAAGACCCTTTGAGACCTAGAATATAAGATGGAATACTCAGTTGGAGATGCCCTCCCAAAGCAGCACCTTTGCTTGCAAAATCTTGCTGCATAGAATTCTTCCTGCCATATGTATGGATACTTATGAAACCTTTCCAGCTCCCTGAAGTTGTCCCCAGTTAACCCGAAGAGAAGTGGTCATTTAATTTTCTAGACACCATTTCCCTATGAGAGTTAAGACTGGGCCATATGATGTTCTGCAGGAAACATCAGTCTTAAAATTCTAGGACTCTTTCCAGGGGATTGCAAGCACCATGCCTTACTCACCAGCACATCCCTGGTACATTCCTGGTAGGCACTCAATGCATATTTGTGGGATGAATGAATGAATGCATGATCAGGATGATGACTGTTGGTGTCATCATACAAATTTCACACATTGCCACCTCTTTACTTCACTATATGTTTGGAATCATTAAGTCTTAGAACGGGTAAACTAAAAGGGAGATATAACCTAGTCCTAGACATGGCTACTATGACTTCCCCACTTAAATATTGTAATCCCCCCTCCTCACCTCCATGTCTTCCATCTCTTTTGTGTGTTTCCCCCCCCAACACTTTTCTTCTAATGTGTTATTGATCTGTAGTTTGTTATTTATTTTCTTACTCCCACAACTGGATTGTAAACTCCACAAGAACAGGGTTTCTTGCCTCTTTTACTCCCTGCTGTCTCCCCATGGCCCAGAATAGAGCTTGTCACATATTAACAGCTCAATAACTACCTGTCAAGTGAATAAGCAAAAGAATAATTTATATATATATATATATGTATGTGTGTGTATATATATATATATATATATATATATAT